CGAGTGGCACGCATCTTTGATCCGTTCAAGCTACCCGACCAGAAATTTCGGCATATGGTGTCCAAAATAGTGGTGGTAAACTAATTTGTGACGTCACACTTGTACCACTGAGCCGTAACGACTGGGTTGAAACGATGGAGCCTGAATTACCAGTCACATGACACCCGACCATTTTGGTAGCAGATTCAATAAGATTTATGTAGTTTTACTTGTTGTAGGTTCTGATCGGATGACGAATTATAGGTATGCATACTTTTTTTCGTTTTTGCATACGTTTGCATAATTATTAATCGTTCAGTRTGCATAGGTTATGTACAAAGATATTAACGTTAATTTTATATCAATAAATGTGAGCAATAATAGWAATAAACCTTTCTAAGATTATGATAATAATATTAGATAGGTAACTATTATGTATCCATCCTATATTAAACTAATTCCGGGTCTTTTTTTTTTTTTTAATTATATTTTTAACTATAACATTGGGTATTGATTATTTTTTGGCATTTAACCGGATTATAGTTATAGATATTATGGTTTGATGACTTCGATATTAAATTTCCTGATGATATTTTACGATTATAAATACCTACATTAATTTATTAAAACTTAACATAATATGCTAATTAGATAACAAATTACTCAAACTCATTTAAAATGTAACAATCATGTAATAAAAATCTATCCATATGAATATTCGAACAAATAGTATATGGCTTATTAAGCTTTTTCTATATCCAAGACAATGCCTTGTTCATAATACTAGTATTATTAAGTACACGTCGTAATATGTTATAGTTGGTTTAAATAATATATTTGAAAATCTAGTAAATAATAAACAGATTCTACAAAAATGTTTCATATTATATGACATATTATTAAATTAGTATTGAATACGTATGTTTGGTAAATTTTGAGGTACAAAAATTGTTTATAATGTTTCAGTATAAGTGTTTTTTTATGAAAAATTAATTTTTAAAGTTAATTTGTATTAATAATATGTGATTTTGAGATATTATTTTCATTTTTTAAAATTTAAAATTAATTTCTTGAATTTGCCAATCTAAAAGAAAGTATTTAATTTGAGTGAAGACGAAAATATGTTTTATAATATATTAAATTACTTACTATTCTCTGTAAGCGTGTTCTAAAGTATAAAAGGAGGGAGTACTCCAAAAGTATTATCATTTGGAATCATTTAAATTGAAAATTGTATCTAAATGTTATGTCTTCATTATGTTTCTATTTCTCTGCAGCTTTTCTCCGTGCAAGGAACTCATTAATAATATTGTAAAATAGATCTTAACAGGTGCTTTTTAATTCTATATCCATTCAAAATCTGAAGTTCTTGAAGCAAAGCAAGTTATCTATTTTTATTGGTCTCAAATTTAAGATCACAACGTACCATAATTTCCTATATTAAAAAAGTAAAATTGTGAATGTTAGATGTAATTTTTATTTCAATTAAAAACAATGAAACATTATTCAGTTATTCAAATAAAAATAGTATAAAAATAATAAATAATTAAAAATGTGATATTAAAAAGTAAATATTCTTAAACATTATAGACTTTAAATTAATTCACATTCAGATAACATAATATAATCATTCATTCATCCTAGTTGAATAAAATTACAATCCATTTTTAGTTTTTTTTTTTTTTTTTTATTGGTCTTGAATTTATACAATTTCTGCTTCGACTACTAGGTCATTAGCAAATAACTATAAACATACATTAATTATACTTATAATAAAGAACAGAGCAAAGAAATAAGAGAAAAAACAAAAAAATGAAAAAAATACAAGAGCATTTTTAGTTTAAATGAACTTAGTATTCAAAGATTTATTAGTCAACTAAGGTTTGCCATGTATGTTGCTTAACAATGATATATGATATACCTTATATTACACTTCTTAATCGAAAGTTATTTGTTAAAAAATAATAAGTTTTAATATTTATGTAAGTTTCGATGACCCTTTATAAACGACCACATAATAATTTTAAAACAAACTACATGAATACTCAGATTAATAAACTGTTAATTATAAGGTTAAATACTGGTTTGGATCTATATGAATTAAATTTATGTCAAAACAAACTATTCTATTTTAGAATAAATCTGTCTATTTCCTTTAAATCACTTTGTAAGTTCAATATAGACACTATCCAACTAACTATTAGATTTAGTTCTAAGTAATAAATTAAATGGTTATCTGCAAGCTCAAAAGTAAGATTGATGTAGTCATGAGGTTTTAAGATAATTAAGTTGAAAATGAAAATAAAGCATTTAGTAATTTTTTCAGTATTTTTAATATTGCTGTTCTGATAAGTTTAATGGATTATCGTTGTAGTTGTAGATATACTAGTTATATTAAAGAAATTATATTACTTTTAATACCTACTTAGTGTTTATTTGTATTGTATAAATTACCATATTATAGACATTACAAGTATTTCACAGGGATTTTTAAAAAATTTTACATTTTTAAATTTCAGAAAATATTTTTAAACACAACTTGAATATGTCAGTAGTATTATCATTAAAAACTGAACAGTAATATAAGAATTTAACGATGTATATTTTATAAAATAGTGTTATTAGTTGTTAAAATTTAAGTATTTATTTTAAAAATATAAATAATTAGTCTATAACCTATTTTGTTAAAATAAAAAAATATCGACTTTATCAATTTAGATTTCACATCAAAATTTGACAGTCGTTTAATTGTTTTCACCCATAAAATGTTATTTTTAAATATTTTAATTTTAAAGTTTTGGATACAATTAACTTTATTCAATCATATCCGAATATTTAGTAGGTACTTACTGAAAAATAGAAGTATTGAAGTATGTATTTCATCAAAGATAAAAAAAACACCTAGCTCCTAAATTTTGAAAAATAAATTATCTAATGTAGTCTTCACAGTATAATTAAATATAATGAAAAAAAAATCGTTAATAAACCAATAGAGAATCAGAAATGTACGAGACATACCCATGGTTATCCAATAGCAAAAAAAAATTATTCATGCGAAGGCTATGGTGTCTAATTAACAGCGATACAGATCATAACCAAATGCCTCAAATATAAACAAGATATACAAAAATCATCGGACTAAATACAATCCTCGACATTGCACTGAAAACGAAAACCAAAGAGAACAGTAAGATGATACAATTTTTGAAATCAACAGGTCTTTATAATCTAATCTAATCATAATATGTAAATTAGTTTTATATACAATGTAGCCATATTTTACTTTTAATGATTTCACTATCTAAAAAAAATTCTAAAACCGTAAATACTGTAACCAAATTTAAATTGTAATTAATGGCCATAGTTTCCGAGTTTATAAGATCAGAAAAAAAAATATATATATTATATGCATTATACATAATTTTTGATTTAAAAATACTAATTTTATTTTGYGAACTAAATTATACTATTTGTTAGGTATTTATAACTTTGACGTTGATATCCGATTATAGTCCATAGTATTTTTATTCGGAGGAACTTAAGCTTAAATGCTTAATAGGATAGGGATWTGTAATTAAAATCTAAGATTAACCTTAAACATATCATACTTCATTGTTCATCATCTCATAATTAGGCAACCACTAATTCCAGGTAAATGTATGACGTAAATTCGATTTGATTATAAATTTTATTGTAATTGGCAGTAGCAAAGTAAATACTTTTGCTAGAGAATTAATAATATTATAATGTAATGAGGTGGAATTTTTAAATACCCTTTTTGGATTAAATTAGAAATACTGAGATCATTTAAACCAGTATATTGTTGTATATAGGTATACAAAACAAGTTATCAACCTTAAAACCTAATACGCTTCAAGCTTCAAGAAAATATTGAATCATGTAATATACCAAAAAACACAAATTCAAATAATGTTATGTTTATTGTTTAAAATATTTATATWTTTTTTTAATTTTTGTGACTGCATAATATATGTAGGTATATCTTATAATATTATAACGGCGTATATTTATTTAAAAAAAAAGTATTTCCATACGAACTGTATAAAATTGTAAGATTAATTATTGTGTATACTTTTGTTCACTAGCCTGAATACAAAATTAAGCAATAAATATTTAGTAACTCACTGGTATTATACATAAATAAACACTAAAATTCCTTGAAATATTGTTAAAAACTTGTGTTTACAAGACAAATAATGCATAAATGTACAATTGATCAAATTGCTGTGTACGGTGGCGTTAAGTGCATATTCAATAGGTAAGGAACCTAAAGGTTTTGTCCAATATTTTAAATAAAAAACTTAGGATTGGTAAAAATTAACTAAACAACAAAATTAAAAAAATTAATTGTTATTAATTTAAAATATTATTATTTGTTGTAAATTATGATACAGTATTGATGCTACAAAAAGATTCAAAAATAATTAATAACAATTGTATTTATTAATACAAATATCTGATCGGTATTAATATACAAATTTAAACTTTGTGGCGTATTACAAAATACAAAGAATTAATACTCTGAAAATAATCCAACTAAAAATAGTAAAAAACAAAATAACATATCACTACAACATTTTTTGTATAGAAATATACATATATACAAGTACGAATCAATTTCTATGAAGGATAAAGAATAACATTTTTCAAAAGTAAAAAGTATTTAAAATACCGTATTGAATACTTAAAAAGAAAGTGTTTAAGAATTATTCGGAATACTACCCAGTTCTAACTAAATGTCAATACTATCTATACAATATAAATAAATAAATTAGTTATCTACATAAAATACATACAAATCTAAACCCAAGTGTTATGTTTAAAAAAAAAATTTACATTATTTGTGATATGTATTAAATTAGACAACAAGGCGTATAACAATACCTTCCCTGCACAAATGTCAGTGGGAAGTATGCTTGCTCCCATCGCTAGATCATTCCTATCAGGATTTTTTTTTTTTTAACTTATAATAGTAACTACGATGTTTAATTTTTTTCCAGACTTACAATTTAAACGCTCAAATCGGTGAATCGTCAGCATGTGCTACTGCATTATTGTGTGGTGTAAAAGCCAATTTCGAAACAGTTGGCTTGGACGGCAATGGAAAGTTTGAAAACTGTTATTCCAGTTTTGGGTCTAGAGTTGACTCATTAGCTTACTGGGCTCAACAGCAGGGTACGTGTTTTTTTTTTATAAATACACAACCAATAAATATTGGATTTTGAATTTATCAACTAATAAAGATTTATTATCCTAACCAAACCTTTATAGTCTAGTGTGAATATTGGTAAATTAAAAATTCAATTATTTTGTAGACTTTTAAGATTTGCYAGAGAACTATAAGTTTTGTGTGTATTTCGTGTTCTTAAATATAATATAATGTTATTTATGTTATAATATGTCTTAATATAATGTTATATTGTATTAAAAATAATAAAAACAACATAATATACCTAATAATGATGTGCCATTACACATATTACACATACTTAGTTACTTATAATCCTAGTTCAAGAACTTAAGATTGCATAAACTGTTATGTTAGGTGGATCTTCCCGTAATATAACTTTCTTCGTTATACTGATCACTACGTCTTGTTGACTGTTGTCCAACAAAGTTTATTCAGTATATTAAAACTGAATTAATTAAAATTTGCTTCAATAACCCGCTAAGTAATTTACACAGTGTCTATTGAAGATAATATATTCACTTTATGAAATTCATATTGTTTCAATAGCTCATGTGTTACTACTGTAATGATGTACGCTTAAGCCATCATATCTTTTGAAATTTAATTTATAAAATAAAATAATTATAATAATTTTTAGTCAATAAGAATAAGATAGGACACATACATACACACATGCACACGCACACACACATACAACATTAGATATAAGGAGCTCCGTCATCGTTCTTTTGATATAGACGATCATAAGCGAGTGTAAAAGACTACGCAGATCGTCTATACAGAAAGACGTAATATTGTTAAAGTTTAATATATATATATATATATGTATATGTATTCAAAATAAATTAATAAGTTAGTTAAAAGTATATGTTAATTAGCGTTAGAAATAAATTAAACAAAAGAAATATTAATAGACCAAAGATAAAGGTTTTATTATTTTAAAATACAAATCGGTCACCTCACTTTGCGCCTTAGACGCTAACCACGGTTTCAATTGGGAAGTAAATTCAAGGATTGGAGAGGTAATATAAAAACAATATTATTATAACCCTTTTTTTTTAATCATTAAACCACGAACATGGCTTAAACATATTTAAATACTATTTAAGTTATAATCACTAATGATACTATTAAAACAATAATTAATTTACTAAAAATTAAAACGATAATTTTAAATATAACGAAATATACAACTGTGAAATATTACAACAATTCTATTTGAATTTATAAATAAAATAAAATTAAACATAATATTATTAACTCTAAATGCACCATAATGGTATTCTGATTATCTACTTCAAGAACTCTGGAGTAAGTCATTTTTATTGCTTAGAAATTATCAATTCATTATGAAGTAATACGCTGTATAATTTTTCAACGCTATTAATGTTTTATTCTTCAGTTTTTTAGAACTTTTTTTAAGCTTAACGGAGGACATGACAACTCCACCGTTCTCTAAAAAATGATGGATTTACGAGACACTAAAACATGGAAGTTTTTTAAGTTGTTCAAGATCTATATTTAATCAAAATATTWAAAAAAAAATAATCCTTTTTACTTCAAAATATGTTAATATAATAATATATATTTAATATTATTAGGATCCAAAAAATGTACGCTAGTTTTACACATCGACCTAAAACAAACTATTCTGGTTGTATTGTCTTGAATAGTTTTCATGACAATTTTTTGCAGTGAACATTTTTTAAAAGTTGAAAATTATAAAAATTTTATAATTTCTAATATTAATTTCTTATCAAATAAAGCCCCCTTAGTATTATACATTTTTTTTTAAATTTATTAATATAATTGTGTCAATACACCAAGTATTTTTACAATATTTTAAAGTTATTATACCTACCTATTCATGTTATAAACTAAGTAATTGTATTACTAAATAACCATTTTAATAATATACTGTTAAACATAATATTATTGGAAATTCAAATTGCAAATTAATTCATGTTGGTAATAAATGTGAATTTTTAACAATTGTAAAAAAAAAATATTTTTACTTCAGCAAAATGTTGATCGTATAAACATTTTCCTACATTTACTAATTTTCCATTTTTTTTAAATTTATTGTTGGTAGTTGAACTATTTTCAAAATTTTACGCTAATTACTTTTTATAAGTAGTTGATATAAATTACAGAGTACATTACATTGTATCTAGTTTTAACACAAGACCTTAATTCTTAAGGCCTCAATATCTAAGAACATAAGTCAGAACTATTTATAATTGACAGACAAATATATTATTTTACATTTTACATTCAATATGTAGGTATATGTACCTATTTGTTTTAATTTTAGCTCATATTCGTTTAATTCCTAATTCAATAACAAATATTAACTCAAAATATAAATTGTATAACCCCAAAAATAATGTCACAATCAAGATAAGGATATCTATATTGTGGCCAAGTCGTTTTATTTTTCATTATAAAAATGAAAGATCATATTTAAGCATCTGTGCTAGATTTTGAAAACCAGAAAACGCACTAGTTTAATTCAGAATCCAGTCAAGTATAATGAAATAAAAATGAGAGTTTTTAAGTAGAAATGAAGTAAGTTACTGAAACACTGTACTAAAGAAAGATTAGACTTAGCTACAATATTACTGGTTTTTAAACTTGTCCTTTTTTAATGGGGATATTTTTATCCTTTTAGACTTTTAGAGGAAAATTGATTCAACTAGATTATTTTTTAATAGTTTWAGTAGTTGCCTGAAAATTTTTTCAAAATGTTTTTCTCAGTTATAATAATGTGGTTATAATAGTTATTCATTATAAGTAGCTTATTGACCTAAAATTAGTGAAAAAACAAAAAATTTCAATTTCATAATATTATCCACGCCCCTGATGAGTTAAGTTAAATTTCACCTGCAATTTCACTTAAAATAATTTAAATAATAATGATAATATTTTGAATATTTTAAATAAAAATACATATTAATGATAAAAATATTTGAAAAGTGCTTCTTCTTACGTTTTAACAAAACTGTTTAGTTTATAGTGCAACGAGAAACTTTTTATCCGGAGTCTTTTCATCGAGATATTTTTCTCAATACCTAATACTATATAATAGGCTGCCTCATATAGTATTATACTAAAGGAGAATGTAGTAACTTTAAATTAACTATGTAAAAACAAATTTTTTCTTAAACGAAAATAATTTTTGAGACGATGATAAATCTTTATTGATCAAATGACCATCCAGTGTATACAATATGCATTTTACAATAGATAGGTACCTACATTTTTATCGACTTAAATAAAATACTGCATCTGAGAATGGAGATGTATCGAAAAACGTCTCGAGTTCGGTAAGATTGCCTTCATGTATATAATGTAAATAATATGGTTTACCAACTAATTTCTATAGAGGTCTGCTTTAATTTATCAAACTCCCCAYGGCCCAATCCCAAATAGTTTTAATGATTTTTCACATATTAATAAATATTATTTTTAATTTAARATTTTTATATCAATTGATTATTTTTTATAATTGTCATTTAAAAAAATAAAGATGATTATACAAGAAAACATTTCATTTTTAATGTGAACAATAAGATTTTTTAATTTTTTATAATATCAACTTGTATTAACTGCCAATTAATTTATTCTAATAATTGTAATTGCAATTGCAAAAAAAAAACAATTATGAGAAATAACATTCCATTTTTAATGTGAATTATGTGGTGCCGTGATCATCACATCATACCATATGTTGCAGCCTCTTGAATATATGCTCAAGTTAGTTTTTCACGGAAAACTCGTTTAAACACAATGTCTACCAGTTTTAGCCTCTTGAATATCTGAAGGTGGCGTGATCATCATCATATAATTAGACTAATAGCTAAAATTTCCTATGCGTTAAATCACCAATAAATTGTAATGTAATTGTTTTTTTGTTATTCGAAGTTTATTCTTTATAGGAAACTGGTTTTTTTTWATCATAGAATAGTTTTAAAAGTTAGTTGTGTTTAGTAGTAACTGGAATTAACTATCAAAGCTATTCTATSATAAAAGCCAATTACTTAATAAAGAATTTAACTTCAAATAACAAAAAAAAATAAAACAGTTACATTACAATTGGTGGTTTAAGGTAGGAATAATAATAATATGATGATCATGCTACTTCCTCGTATTCAAAAAGCTGCAACAGGTAGCTATTATATTTAAACATGTTTCCGTACAATGTTATAATTCATCGGCTGATAGGTACCTGTAACATGTTATATATTGTATAATACAGATTCATATATGATTTAAACTACCATAAGAAGAGTATTTTGAAAGTAACTATACTTGTTTTTTTATAAAATCAGAATATTTGGTCTTAAAAATAATTAGTAGGTTGGTTTATACTGAATACCTAAAATTATTTGACTCGATCTTTGTACCTACAAGCTTGCTAATACATACAACTTATTTATTTTCTATTTCATATGGAATTCATTAATTTGTATAATAATAAGGTTTGAATAAGTATTCATTATACTAATGATTTATATAACCAAATGTTCTTGTTTTATATCCATGTAATTTRCTTTTTTTTTCTCTTGAGCTCCACGCGTAGACTTATACACTAGGTTCAACATGTTTATTGCTCCACGTATACACATAGTACCAACTGTATATAGCATGTGCTAAAAACATTTACAATTTTATTAACATAAAAATATCACTTATTTAGTTATTTATAAAAAATTATATAAAATATGTATGGATAAACTAAAATTATTTATTTTTATTGAATGGTAATATTTTTGATAATAATGCTAGGCATACGTAAGTAATAAATAAATTATAACAGAGGTATTCAAATATTGTTCGTCTCAGCTCCATGGTCATCGCGAGTGMTGGTGTAGGAAGCCACGTCAAAGCACCAAAAACTAATATTTATGTAGGTCTTGTATAATTAATTTAAATATTATTCATAATCATTATGGAAACGATAACGAGAAACATTACACGACTG